CCTTTTGACTCTTGCTGGAGGAAGGGTGGGGTGGGAGAGCAGCGGGCATCCCGAGCAGGTGGCCCTGAGTTTCAAGTGCTTCAGTGCAAGAACCAGGTGAAGGGTGTGGTGTGGTCTGAAGGCTATGGGGTCGCTGGACGAATGGAAGCAGCCCAGGTAGGCGGGGGCCCCTGGCTGCCTGCAGGACCACTCTGAGACCCCCCTTGCTCCATCTCGAGGGGTTCTTCACGCAGGGTGGGGCTCTCTCCCTCCCAGAGGTCTTGGCAGCAGGAGCCCAGGTTGCACAGGGCAAGACTCCAAAGGCCTCCAGGGCCGCCAGACCGAAGGATCCAAATAGCCCCTGCCGTGCCGGCCACAGCCCTTGGCTGCCATCCCACAGCCTTCAGGACAGACCTGGCTGACACAGCCTGCCATTGAGCTTTTCTCACGCCTATCCCTGTCCCAGTCCACAGCCTCGAGCTTCCTGCCAACCTGTCCGCACTATCCAGTTATCTCGTACTTGCCCCTTCTTGGCCTGACTCTTGTCGTCCTGACTCTGGGGAGACCCAGGTCGGGTCAGGAGCCACCTGGGGGGCCCCGGAGCCCTGGGCCTCCCTCTGCCACAGCCTCTGTCCCACCGGGGTCACGTCCAGCTTCTGGCTTCTCCTGTCTCTGTCCTGCATGCATGGATGCCGGGCCCCCGGTGCTTTGGAGACTCTCTGTGCTTCACTAAGGAACAGACGGGAAGGTCTTGTTGACGACGATGAGTGTGGTGTCGGAGGCAAGCCCATCCGGTCACCGCCTTAGCACCTGCCACCCCTCTGCAAGCCTGAGGAATTTTCACCCATCTTTTCCTCTCTCTGCTCCCTTTGTCCCGCTCCTGGACAGGTTGGTGGGAAGCTCAGGGTTCTACAAGACCAAGATGCTCCAAAGTCATGGGGGGCGGAGCTGGAGGTGGGAAAAGCACAGCACTGCTCAGAGTTTTGACGGAGGATTTCAACTGGATCTTTCTTCCTGAGCGGTTTCCTGATTTTCACATGCTCATGCTCCTACAGAAAATGCGCAAGTTATCGGAAAGGGCGAAGAAACAGAAGAAACCCCAAGCGCTCATAATCCCGCTGCCCGCAGCTGACCGCCATGGTGGTCTGGCGCGTGGCATGCAGCCTTTTCCAGATATCGCTTAGAGCCGAGATCACCACGTGATTCCCGTGGTTTCCACTGAACAACACACCCTAGGCGGAATCCCACGGATGCCTGTGAGTGGCTGCATCCCGCTCTGCTGTGGGGATACAGTAATGATTTACCAGCTTCCTGCTGTCTGCTGACTCGTCCACTTCTCTCTCTTTCCCGCCTTCCTCTCCCTGCATGTGTGTGAGCCAATACTTTTGCTGACATTTCTCATTATTCCTTTGGGATGCTTGCCTGGAAAGCAGATGACTGGAGGCAGCATCCTGGTGGATCTGAGTACACATTTGCTGTGTACACACCCCCGAGCCTCCGGTCTCAGATCTCGCTGGCTGGACTGCCCCCCTCTCCCTGGGTTTGAGAACCTGTGGTCTCATCAACAGAATACCAGTTACTATCCTTACCTTTGAATCTCATCCCTGGTGAAAAATTTAAACCCTCTGCAGGGTGGCATGCAGGGTCTGATCCATTTATCTTCCAATCTCAGGGGAAAAAAATTAAAATGTTAAATATTTTCAGCACGTTAAAAAAGTACCCCCAAAATAAGGGTGTGGCCCCCACTAGGGCCCTCCTGCTCGTTCTCGCTGGGATGCGCATTTCCATGACAAAGCTCAGCACTGGTTCAGGAAGGTCCCGCCCCTGCTCAGTAACACTGAATGCTGCCACATGGCCCCCAAATTCTTCATTGGCCACTGGATGCCCACTGGAAGCCGTTCCGAATCCCGCCCCAGCCACGTGTGCTGGCTCCTTCTGCCGCTGTGACCACGGATGCCCACACCTACATGCCTGGAATACCTGCTCCGCACGGCCCCCTCGGGCTTCCTGGATCCGTCAGCCTGGAGACCAAGGCCTCTTCCTCCGCACGCTCGCCAAGACTGCTGTTCCAGCCCCAATCCAGTCCTGGGCTTGCATGAGGCTGCTTCTGCTGCTGAGTCAGAGCCAAGTGCTCTGTACCGTCTCCTCGTAGGAGAAATTGGGGCAGGAATACTCATCCCCGGGGGGCTGTGGTGGGAAATAAATACGGTTAAATGAGATAAGCTCAATCATGAAATATGCTTAAAATTAAGTAAAATTCAATACACTCAGTTAATACTTGTTCTTTTCTCTCCTTACACATATTTTTCCCCTCCCTGAGTGCACATAACAAACTTCCAGTGCAAGTTTGTGGAAATGAGTTGGTTCACAAGTGACAGTATTTCATTATAATAGATACAATTCATTTGTCTTAAAAAATCAGATCATTGGGGAACCTACCTGGCTCAGTGGGTTGAGCATCCACCTCTTGATTTCGGCTAGGCCATGATCTCAGGGTTGTGGGATCGAGCCCTGAGTCAGGCTCCCTGCTCAGCGGGGAGTCTGCTTGTCTCCCTCGCCCTCTCCCTCTGCCCCCACTCACTCTCTCTCTCTCAAATAAATAAGTAAAATCTTAAAAAAAATAAGATCATTATTTCTTATAGGAGGTCAGTGCGCTTATGTTTCAGATCTTATGTTGTCCGATCTTCTCTCTGCTCATCAAAGTGTGAGCATCAAACTTGTTAGTCTCTGCAGTCTGTGTCCTGTTTGGCACAGTCCCCTATGCATGCCGGGCACCAGAACTGTTTGTGGGTGAACAGATGGCCTGTCTTTACATAACGCTGACCGGCAAAGCTTTCCTGCGCTCACGTCTTGGAATTATGTTCTTGTCCCTGCAAGCGACCTGCCTGGAATCTGTCTCCGTGGAGACGTTCAGAGGGTTCAGGAGCTGCTGTCACTGGCTGGATCAAAGTCTCCCCATGAAGCATCTAATGCTTCCACTGATCTGCCGATCCACAGATGGCCACTCAGGAGCCTTGGCGGGACTGGGGGAGCCCCTGCGGCCATGCTGTCCCGGCCACCTTCACTGTGCCCGCCGACCCCTGGAGTTGTAGAGCTGCCTACTCTTCTCTGGAAAGTCAGGAGGGACGGCTTTGACATTATGGTTCTGGTTTCAGACAAGGTCCGATCTGATGAGAATTTCTCTTGGATCTGAAAGCATTTAGTGGGAGATAGAGTGAGAGAGGAAGCCGCTGCATTTAGAGGATGGAGACTGGTCTTGGCCTCTCTGTAGGAGGCCATGTGGAGGGCTGACAGGACATTGGGTGGGAGCCAGAAGGACCGAGTTTGATTCCCAGAGCCCCGGTTTCTAGTTCTGTGACCTTGGAAGAGATACTTGACTTATCTGAGTTGCCCTGTCCCCAACTATAAAATGGAGTCATGATAAAGGCAGACATCTCTCTGACTACTCACTGTGTGCCGGGCACTATTTGAAGCTCTCTATGTATATTTATTAGTTTAATCCTAATTGCAACCATGTAAGGCAGGTGCAATTGATAGTTATTAATATCCCTGTTACACATAGTAGAAAAGGAGACCCAAGAGGTGACTTGCCCAAGGCCATGAGGCTGGGGTGATGGAACCAGTGCAGGTTGTCCCCTCATTCCCCCAGCCACCTGCATTCTCTTCAGTCCTTTTAGCACTGGCACCAGGGAGACCCCCATGAAGGCGAGCCGCCTCCCCACTAGCCATCCTCTGTCCCCGGGAGAGGGCTAGGCTTGTAGGACCTCTGGGTGAGAGCAGGTGAGTGGGGCCGGGGAAAGATGGGGTGAGGGTCTGCCTTCTGGCTCCTTTTATGTAGGGGCTGCCAAAAAAAGCTTCCTGGAATCTGGCAGCTTCCAACTGCCCTCCCTCCATTCTTGTCCTGACAACTGTTCACTGAAGGGATTGGAAGATTCCTACAGATTCAGGAGCCCGGGGGGCAGGAGAGGAGGAGAGAGAGACAGACCCCCTTTCCCAGGGGCTCCAAGAGCCACCTGGAGAGGCAGAGCTCAGCTCCAAAGGGAGTTCCATATTACACCAAGCAGGGAACCACACCTCTCAGCCTCTCCCTCTTTCCTTCTCTCTTCCTCTTTGCTTTTCTCTCCCTTACCCCTTCTTCTTCCTTTCCTCTTTACTTTTCCTTCTTCATCTCCTTCCTTCCCTCATTTCTCCTCTCATTTCCACTTCTTGCTGCCCTTCTTGGTTCAACAAACATAGATCCACTCCCTGGCCCTGAGCTGGGGCTGGGAAGAGGACTGCCATCCAGGCGCCCCGATGCTTTCTTCCTCTAGCTCCCTCTGCCCATCCAGCACAGCTCCCTGCCCCTCAGTCTCCTGGTTCCCTGCTTCCACTCGCCCCCATACCGCTGGGTCACTCCAGTTTGGTGCCAGCGCAGGAGAGGGGGAGGTGCTCGGAAAGGGTCAACACAACCGGGGAGAAGCAGATAGCTTTTTAGCATCCCACGGCCTGTGAGTCACCGCCAGGAGGCTCTGGAGTAGGAGGTGTGACCATTGTAAGGACCGTCCTGGTCTGGGGCAGAACGGCATGGAGCTCCTTCCAGACGCTGCATGTGGAGGGAAGAAAAGACAAGGCGACTGCAGAGACCACCGTGACTCCAGCTCCCCTCACCCTCCCGCCTAGATTCAGCCGCCGGCCAGTGCCGCAAACGCCTTGGCGCGGGGCGCGGGGCGCGGGGCCCGCGAGCGCGTTCAGCACCCTGGACAGCGCCGCAGGAGGGGACCCGCGCGGCCGCGTTGCGCTCCGCCCGCCCGCGACCGCTCCCAGTTCCGCAGCGCAGCGCGCTTGGCCAGTCACCGGGGACCCAGAGCTTGCCACCGCTTTCCGCGCGCCGCTCCGAGCCGTGACGTCGGCTCTGGCTCTCCGGGACTCCAAGAGCGCGCCCGTCCGCCGCGCCACTTTCCCCGCCTGCGGCCGGAGCGGAACCATGAGCGCGGGCCCCTGCCGCCGCTGTTCGGCGGGGCGTATGGCCAGCCGCTAGCGCCATGGGCCCGGGAGAGGCGCTGCTGGCCGTGTCGCTGCTGTCCAGCGCGCTGGTGCTGCTCTGCGGCGCCTAGACAGCCGAGCGGCGTGCGCGCCTTGCGCGCTTTCCCGGTGAACCTGTCCCTGGGCTGCCCGCTGCCGGCGGCGCTAGACATGCCCTTCATGTTGCTCGGGCAAGCTGCGCGGGCAGCCGCCATCTGGGCCCAGCGTGTACCAGGCCGCAGGCTTCCTGGACACCTTCCTGGAGTCCAACTCTGTACTTAGCAGGGCGGCACTGAATGCTGACCGGTGGCTGGCGGTGGGTTTCCCACTCCACCATGTTTGCCCGGATGGCCTAGGTGTGGGGACAGTCATTGGTCTTCAGCGCTCTCCTGCTCATGGCTCCCCTGTAGAGCCATACGGGTCCTGCTTGCTTCCCCTGCCGGTGCCCCGCCGAGCTCCACGCTGCTGGCTTTGCACTGCTGTTCCCTGTGCTCGGCCTCCCCTGGCTCAAGATGCTGTGGGTGGCCCAGAGCCACTGCCGGCACTTTGATGTCGACACCATGCAGGGGCTTGTGCTGCTCATGCACCTGCATCCCAGGTAGTTGGCCGTGAGTCCCCACCCAGCCCAGAGGGCTGCACCCACTGCTGCGCTCCCCACTGGCGGCTGGTTCCTGAGCCAGCCGCAGGCACCAGCACCTGCCCCAGGGGTTCCCTCGCTGTGTGGCTTCCCCTGCACGCAGCTCCCAGGTTTCTGCATCTGCTTGTTTGTACTCTCAGTGAGTCCACACACTGGAAGGGCCAGGTGCTTCTTAGTGTCTGCATTTGCCTGTGGAGTATGTGCCCACAGTGAGCTTTTGCACAAGCTGTGAGGTCTGAGCCACCGGAGAACGGTGCCCCCCCCCCCACCGTGGGAAGAGTCCGTCACTCCTCTTCCGGGCAGGTGGTGTGGATCTGAACACTCCTTCCAGTTTCTGCCCTGCTCCCCCAGTGCCCTTGCCTGATCTGAGGTCTCAGGTCTTGGGGAGGGTCTGCCGGATTCTGTCTGCTCCTGACTTGGCATGCATTTGCCCACGGAATCTCTAGCTGGTGTACCTGCTACCCGTTGCCCCTCCTCCCAACTCCCCTCCCCCGATATCTGCCTCTGCCCCGCCCCCAGGAGCTCGTCCCCACCGCCCCCAGGAGCTCGTCCCCACCCCTCACGTGCCCTGACTTGTGTCCTCTGTTCTGTCCCCCCAACGCTGCCTCAGTGAGCAGAAGCACCATGGCTGGTGGCTGCCAGGCAGATCGGCATCTTCATCGGGTCCTTCGTCATCTGCTTAGCCGCATACATTGTGACCAGGTGGGCCTGGCCCTCAGACCCCTGTCCTGGGAGCTGCTGAGATGTGGGCTTGGCCTCAGCCAGGCAGGCAGGCAGGCCTCTGAGGTCTCCCTGCTGGGGACCTGGAGGGAAGTCCTTCCTCGACACCTGAGGCAGCTGGGGCCTCACCCCAGCTCTTGTCAAAGGCCCTGGGACAGACACAGCACCAGCCCCACACCTATAAATGAGAAAGCTGTCCCTGTCCGGGGAGACAGGCTGGGCCAGGCAGGCGCGGGGTCTGTCTGAGCTGGCATCTGACTCTTTCCAATCTTAGGAAGCCTTTAAAACCATTTAGGTGGTCTGGGATCAACCCCGGCCTCAGACTCAGCATCCCCTGGGCATGGATTCGGGGATCCTGCGGCCAGTCCCGGCCAAGGCCACTATCACACTCACCCAGAGCTCTTCCTCCCCTCCCTTTCCCTGGAGACCCTGGCCTGGAGCTGGTAGGAGACTGGGGGAGACCGCATGTAAGGGGCCCAGTGGCTGTCACGGTCACAGTCCTGTGGTGAGAGCAGCTGGCTCTGTATTCCTGACGCCGGGATTCCTGGGATTCTCATTCCGTGGCCAGGCCCCTGTTGTGGTCAGCCTCCCTGGGTGGTCCCCACATCCCATCTTGGGCCGAGGCAGAAGGACACCCTGAGGGAAGTGGCTCCTGGAAGGAGCTGATGGTTCTCAGCCTCTGGCCCAGGCTGCCTACCCAAGGGCCAGAGGGGGCACTGGGCAGGGTGCCAGACTCCTGGGTTTGTTCCAGCAAGCATCTCCTGGAGGCTCTAGGATGCACTGGGAGGTCGACTTGTCTGTTCAGGCTGTCTACCTCCTCAGGTCATTTGGTTTGTTAAGCGTGATAGGGAGGGCACCCATGGTTCCCACGGGTTGGGGGAGGCTTCTGGAGCGTCTGTGCCAAATGAAGTGGGCTCTGTCCACCCTGTCAAGCTCCTTTGGAATCAATGCTCAGGATGTGAGTCACATGGCTCTTGGCCACCCACCTATCTGGCCCCGGGACAGGGTGGATTTCTCATGGATCACAGGCATCATCGTGCTTCTTCACACGAAACCTGGCCGGTGTCTCATGTTCTTAAACTGCATGTGTGCAGTCATGGGCAGGGCCAACCGTGGCGTTGTCCCATGAACCAGCAATCTCATCTGGTATGGTGTCTGTGTACACATGCGTGTACACATGTGAGTGTGTGTGTGTGTGTGTGTGTGTGTGCAGGGGTGGGTGCTGGAGTTTCAAGAGCTCCCTCATGTGACCCAGCTTCAGTATTTGCTTTTGAAATTGTAAATGAATAGCGAGGGAGCCTGGGTTACTCAACCACAGTATGTTGATCGCTAGCTTTTACTTCTATGTCATTTAGGTGTGCAAGGACCCGTGTGTGTATATGTGAGCGTGCACGTGCACACGCAAGCACACACGTGTGTGGCAGGAGAGCAGAGCCTTAGTGCATACATTGGCAGCCCAGTTTCCACTGTGTGCACTCGGTGACACAGACTGCTCACGCTCTCTTCTCTGTGACGCATGTCCCCAAACCCTTTGTGGGAACTGTGGATAAGATAAGATAGAGCCTCTTATGATTGTCATGAGTGCTCATGAGGCGGTGCATCTCCTTCGCTCACTCACCATTTGCTGAGCACCTCCTGCGTGCTGGGCTTTGTGCTGGGTTCCAGGTGAGTCCTGCCTCGCTGGGCTCTTTGTCCTGATGGCAGAAGATGCAGGTCAACAGGGGCAGGCAGGTGTCTCCAGTGAGGGAGGGGTATTGAAGGATTGAATTTGGGAGCAGCGCCCTGGCTCTGTGTTCATCTGCACCCCCATCCCCACCCCAGACCGCACACTCCTGGAGGTGAGCATGCTGCACGCCTGGGACCTTAATCCACTCTGGCATGTGAATCAATAAAACCCCAGGGCGATACCCAAGAAACAGAAAGGGGAAATCACTGTGTCCCCAGCTCCTTTACCTTCTTCATCCACACCACCACTGCTGGGCTCAAGGTGACTCTGTGATATTTCTAAGCAGGTTAAATCCACCTTCAAGGTGTCCACAGAAGAATCTAACAATGCATCACAGTTCTGGAAACAATTCCCCAGAGAAGATCTCTAACATAGTTGTAGCAATTACAAAATGACCAGAACAAATGCACCCCCTTGCAGGGGGAGAGAGACTCTTTCGGGAGGAACAGCACACCCCTCCGTATATGAATGCTTACGGGTTAAACCACCCGCCACATTAGAATCTCATCCACGCACGTGGCCATGAGGCTCTGATTTCGTTCCTGCTTCTGACGTGGGGGGTACCAGCCAGGCAGCTCTTTCCACACACTAACCCGGCTGTGCTGCTCCCAAGCTCAGTCCCCCGATGCCCTTCACTGGAGACACGAGCCTAAGGCTCGGAGAGCGTGCACAGAGCCACTCAGCTTGTAACGGCAAGGCTGTCGCCTGTACTCTCTGTGGTTCTAGAACCTCCCAAACCTCTAGGGCACGGGCGTGTACGTGGGCGTGGTCACTGCCGCTGAACCACCTGCTCAGCTCCCCGACAGGCTAGTGAAGTGTGTGTCCTTCGTCACTGTTAGCCCTCCCTGGGGCATCCTGAGCAAGTACCTGAGCTACGGCTGGGCCGTGGCCGACCCCTGCGTGGCCTTCCCCCAGGTCCTGGCCGGCATCCCAATCGGCTCCTGAGAGTGGGGGCTGCCCCCCATGGCAGCGACTCTGCTCAGCACTGCGGGGAGCCGAGAGAGGCTGGGGCTTCCCTCGGGCTGGCAGTGGGGTGGGGCATTCCCGGTTATGGCCACTAAATGGGCCCACGGGGCAGTGTCCGGGACCCGTGTGCACATCTGTTACAGTTCACGGTTCAAAACTAGAATGGCGCGCAGCGCGTTGTAAGCCCTCTGTAAGGGTGTGTTGTATGAGGGGTGAATGGACACAGTTCCCTCTCCATTGCTGTTTGCTCGCCTCTTCGGGCTCCAGCCGTCCCCTGCGGAACTGGGGCTGGGCTGCAGGATGGGGGCCCAGCACATGGTAGGATGGACTCTCGGGGAGGGCCTTGCCCGTGGGCGGCTGCAGAGCCCGCAGTGCTGGTCCCCCAGCCGAGGTCCTGAGTCCCTTCCTTGTAGATACACAAACACAGAGCTCCTTGGGGCCCATCAGGGCATCAGGGACAGTTTACAGCCTGCTGGAGCCAGCTGGACAGGTTCTTCCCAACCCCTGTGGTGTCATTTCGTGGCTTTGGGCTGATTCTCCAATGTCTCCCTGCAAGCAGGATATATTTAAGTGCTTATAAATTGTAAAGCACAATTCAAAGAAAACAAATTATTTTTAGCAATGATAATAGCTAGATCTGTGGTCGGGAAGAAGTTAAAAACAACAGAAAAACCACCCAGGCAGTTCGAGGAAAGCCACGTTCCAGCTTTGGGCTGGCCATTGCAGGTGTGAGGGGGTTCACAGGCGGCACGTGGCCCTAGAGCCTGGGGTCCCATGGGCACCCCCAGTGCTTGCAAAGGAAGTTTCGTCTCTATTGTCTTGCATGAAACTCAGAGCCAGGCTGTGAACTCACAGGCTGAACCCTCTCTCCTTCCTGGGAACTTCTCTTGGGGCGAGAAGAAGCCTTACATCCATGCGAGGAAATATGTGTATCCTGTCCCCTGGAAAATGCCACAGCTAGGAAGAGACAACACGCATCGCAGGCGGTGACCGCTTCTCTCCTGTTCTGCCTTCCCTGAAGCCACCAGGGGATTTTCTAGAAGACCACTCAAGGCACAGGTGCCTCCCGGGTGAAGGCCACTAGTTGTGTCCATGCTGGGCATTCTAGAACATTCTCTCACTCGCTATGTTATCTTTCACCTTGGGTTTGTGGTCTTTTTTATTTTGAAAGATCCTTTGCATGTGCACTTAAATGTATTGCAAATGGTGTCATGTCCCAAGCGCCGTGAGAATCAATAAACATTTTATTCAAAGGTCTCTTGTTTCTCTGCAAAGGAGAAGGTGCTCCCTTTGCATCAGCCCGAAGCCAGCTACCGGGGAAGTGGGTCCCTGCTGGGCTTCCGAGAAGAGTGGGACTAGACTTGCCCCGTCGGGGCTCAGTCCTGCAAACTTTGTGCTTTCCCAGGGCACGCAGCACAGCACACGCTCTGCTGGGGGGGGCGGGGGGGGGTCCCTAGCTCCCATCTGGTTCCCAGAGGGCCTGAGACCCCACAGGGCAGGAACCACTCCCCACTGCGCAGGGCTGGCAACTCCAGGCCGGGCTGGGGCTTCGTGATGAGACTGTCTCCCCAGCGCCCAGCAGGGGCAGCACCGAGCTGGTTCCGGAGAGCTCTCTGGATGAGTTAGACCCGCTAAGTTCAGGGAGGCGAGGGCTGTCCCAGAGGAAGCTTGGGGAGGGGTGGGGTCTGGGTGCTGCACTCAGGAGCCTTGACCCTTCAGCTGGGCACCAAAGGAGGGGTGGACTTCCCCCATCATCGTGAGCCCTGAGATGGGCAACAGCATCTTCTCAGTGGAGGGCCCCAGGCTCACTGAAGTAAGCCACTGGCTCAGGGTGAGCCACCTGGTGAAGCGACCCATACGGGATGGCAGAGTCTGTGTTCTCTCCGTGACACCACGAGGCTTCTCCCCCAGCGGCCTTTCCTGTCCCTCCACTGCCCCCCCAGCATCCGAGCTCTTGCAGGCTCAGGCTCTGGCTGCATCCTGCTGGTTCACCTTGTCCCATCCTGATGGTTCAGCTCTGGCCACACGCTGCCCCGCCCCTCTTGGCCAATTATCCCATGGGCGGCTGGGCAGAGCAGGGAAGGGGGAGGACTTACACAGCTCTTGGCCCTGGGAAAGGGTTAACCTGCCTGGACTTGCCCCTGCCAAAACACTTGGTGGGGTGTCCTCATCCTCTCTTGGACAAGAAGACTTGGGTTAGAGACAGTTCCTTCCAACTTAAGTGGGGAGGAAAGAGGTAGGTCCCAGAGCAGATTACCAAATTCTACCCACTGGGTCCTTAAAAATAGCAATAGCTAACATGACCCTTTCTCTTTCCCAAATCTTAGATGCCACTGGTTTGAAACAGTATCATTATTCCATATACCACTCAGACAAAAAAACAAACCCACAATGAAGGCTGTAATAGGAGATGCCCACACAAATCTGGCCATGTATGGGCTGCAGGCTCAGTGTCCGTGAGAACCTAACCTGCCTGCGAGACGGGAGGGCAAGGAGACTCACATGTTTCCCCTGGCACACGGGGTGGAGGGTGAAAACCTCCCCGAGAATGTGCACCCATCAGCTGGCACTCAGGAAGGGTGGGGTCTGAATTCGCCCTCCCAGCTTGGAGCGGAGACCCCAGACAGGAAAGTCAAAGGAAAGTGCCCGGGCTGGAGCAAGCCCAGAGACTTCTGGAAGGACTAGCTGCGGTCTGGGTGGAAGAGGGCGGCATGGGACATCGGATGCCGAAAAGGGCAACTAGAGTCAATGGGCTGAAGTAAGCGGCTCATTCTCGGGGCCAGGAATGGATTGAGGCCCTTGTCCGATGTTTGCCCCACTGCAGACACTGTCACGATAATCCCAGACCCCAGGTTAAGGGGCTTGTCCAAAGTCTTAGGGCGGAGTGGCATCTGGCTGTAGGGTCGGTCCTCCCCACCACCCAGGACAGTTGGTAAAGGAGTCCCATAAAGGCACATGGATGCTAAAGACCGTCTGGGTGGATGGCCTAGCAGGGGAGGGACTGGCCCAGGTGACTGCTGGGATGTGGACCCAGGTGTCTAGCTGGCATTGTCCCCAGGGCCCAGGGCGCGAGCACACCAGGGGCTGGACTGCAGCTGTGGGCTGTGACAAGTGGCTGGCCGGCAGATGTGTGCACATCTGGACGGCAGAGTCAGCACCTGCTGAGCTCCATGAAGGTGGTGCTTCAAAGGCGTTGGCTAAATCCCCAAACAGTCCTGGTCCTGGGAAGAGAGAGAGGCTCTGGGCAGACAGTGAGCAGGGGGCTCTGGGGCCACACTTCCCTCACCTTGGGACCAGGGTCCTGGGCTTCCCTCCTCCCAGGCCCCTCGAATTCCTGCCCAGATGGCTGTGGGCGATGCAGGCAGGGGCTGGGGAGAGCGGGAAGGAGTCCTCCCACACCCCCAGCAGTCAGGTCATGGAGGCGGGGCTGTCTGCACTGGACTGCCCGCCCCTGCCCCCACATTGCCTTTGCCCCTTCATCTAGAGAAGAGGGGGGCTCACCCCTGCGATATTTTATGTCACCGCTGGGTTGGTCTGTTGCCCCCTTTGATGAGCTGAGTGACGGCCTGCCACATTTCACTGAGGACCCTGGCGCCAGGCTCCCTGCCCGGATCTGCGGGAGCAACCAGGAGGGGGCTTCTCCTTAGGGCGCAGAGGGAGACCCTGCTCAGGGGTGAGGAGCCGCCAAGGACATCCAGAGCCGCCTGCCCTTCCTGGTACCTAAACATCCCCCACAGACAATTCTCCTACACCCACGGCCTGGCTCCGTGGGGGGATGGGGTCACTCCCTCCTCCCTCCTGGGACAGAGGAGTGACTTGGCCCCGTTCACTGCCCGCTGGGGTGAGCACGAGGGCCAGGGCCCACCTGGCCCCCAGACCCGCCCTGTCCAGAAAGAGGGGTTTTCAGGCAGGATCAGCAGGGGCCTTGGAGGTCAGCTCCCAGGGGCCTCGGTGCCAGAAGGGAGACCGAGGCCCAGTGGGGGCGCCGGGCCCTGGGGGCGGGCCCTGGGCCGGAAGCTGGCAGCTCGGCTCGGTCCCTCCCGCCCGCACCCCTCCGCGCTGAGTCTGGGCTGCGCTGTAACCCGACTCCGCGCTCACGCTCCTGGGGGGCGGGAGCCCAGCGGCCTTCGCCCCGCGGCCCGAGTGCCGAGTGCCACATC